ATATATATATATATAATAATTTTATAATTTTATAGTCAAAGACATACATAATAGCCACAATATCAATTTTTTATATACTCCATTTGATATATTCTAAGTCTAGTGAAAATAGAATTGATATTTGCGAGAAAAGATATTAAAAAATTTCCAAAAAACTTCCATTTACAAATGTTCATATTATTTTACATGAATTATTCTCTTTAAAATATAATATTTTGTTATAAGTCTTTGTACAATTGAAGTATAACTATTAATTATTTTGATATACTTCTTATATCATTTTTAAAATCATGTGATATAATAATCACAATAATCTTTTTATAATACTTAAAATCGAAGAAAAAAAAATGGAAAAAACATTCCAAACTATCTCCCAGATATTTACATATATAATATTACATTATTTGAATTATTAATTTATCATTACAAACTATTATAAAGTTGTTTGTAAGATTGTTCTGCATTATTTTTCAATATAGTGTTTATTAAGAAACATGATGAGTATATCTCATAAAAAGTGATGAAGATAATATATTTGTAATTTTTTTTATTTTTTTATAAGAATGAAAGAAAAGTATAATTTATTATAATATATTATTATGTATACACATTGTTTATATTTCAAATAGTTCATTTATTCATTCATATTAGAATAGATCATATTAGATATGGATATGTTGAGAAAAAAATTTAATATTAAGATTTTCTGATTTACAAAAAAAAAAATATATATATTTACTGTATTACATTTTTAATCTTTTTAAACAAACAGTCACGTTGCAAAAAGACGTAACACTGTATGCACGTGGGTAAATAGAAATACGATTTTTGTACAATTTTTGTACTTCGTCTCTTTGTTTTTATACGAAGAGCGAATTTTTTACATATTTAATAACTTTTAATATGCAATAATTTTATATTTTATCTCTTCTTAAGATGGATTGAAAAATATAAGAGTTCCTGCATGAGATATGTAAGGATATATATATATATAGCTCTGGGAATATATACTACATGTGTATATGTATACCCTAGTCTAGTAATGTCGAACATTTTCACACATATATTATTCTGTACACAATGAATGCGTAAATGTACGGTTGCGAAGTATATATACTCTCCATAGATTCCATATGAATTATAGAAGTGTTATAAAAAAACTACAAAGAAATTGTTAAACTATACTTATTGTTACTTTCTTTATCCTGATTCAGGAAAATTCCCTAGTATGTATCACATTTATTTACTGCTTATAAAATATTAAAATTTGAAAGGGGTTTTTATTCAATAATAATCCTTGAATCTGTTTGAACTTTATTGCCTTCAACTGTTGTATGTGATGACAATAGAAATAACAATACTACTAGCTACATCGCTACATTATGTGACATTTCAAATTAGTGACATACATAATTTTCCTTATTTTGAGACAATGTTTCTGAGTTGCTACATAGTTTCTAGTCGTAAAGAAGACACAAATTGCATACTATGGAATAGTAATAAATTCTACCAATTTTTCCTATTAAAATTTTTTCTATTATTAAAACAATAAGTTGTATACTTATACAACTTACATCTTATTTCTTCATGTAATATAATAATCTGTTACACATTTTACTCTTTTACGTATACTAGTTATACTACATTTTAAAATAGCTAATTATATCTTACTGATAAACGATAAACGTGATATCTTTAACTAACTATTTAACAATTATTGGCCGGCCATATAATTTCATTTCGCTATATATCCTAGTAAAAACACATGTTCTGTGTTCATTCTAAAAATCTGCATTTGAAAAATATGTTTTCTCACTTGGACTATTAGTTGTAATCAGCAATCAAGACATAATTTGTTAAGAAGATACATAGAAAGATGTTTCTATTTATTGATATAATGAATTGATAATAGAATTTGTATTCTAACAAATTATGTCTTTTGATGATTAAAGATAATTTCTTACACGAAAGCTTTTTCAGCTTATATTTCCATATAATATTTGCCATCGAAAGTATGAGCATTCTTAACAATTATTTTTATATTATGCACTGTAATTGACTATAATTATTTATAATTTATATGTTTCGAGTATCCTGCATTTTAGAATTAATTAATCGTTATTAATTTACATATCATTACGTTAACTTATTAGATAATACTATTACGTCTAAAATTAAAGACTCTTGTTTATAGACTACCAGAAAATGAACAATAACAGATTTATTAAAATATTATGTTATTGCCAAAACATTCAGATATTTAATAAATAAATTATATTCTGTGTACAATTATATTATTATCTCAAAACTAGTTTTCTTCCACTTTCATTTATGATAAAATTTGTTCTATTATACTGAAAATATTTTTTAGTTTTTTTACATTTGTTTTGGCACATAATAAATTATTAAATATATCATGTTCTTATTAATTTTTGAGTAGCTTTATAATTTTTGAGTAGTTTTGAAACTATAGTTACTGCTAATGTTTAATTTGAACAAGATATCAATAATTAACATTCTAAATTATAATTCTTATCAATTATCAAATTAGAGAACTTGTTATTACATGATTATTAATCTTTTTGCATAATATGTTTTGTGGAAGTATGTAAAAAATAATATAAATATAGCATAATGTGTTCTATCACTCAACAATGGAATGTAATGGGGTTTTATTATAATATATAAAATTACTATTATGCTATAAAAATTAGTATGCTTACGCATTTTTCTTTAAGACAAAATTTTAAAATGTAAGTTTATGAGGGAAGAACGTTTTTTGTTACCCGTGTTCTTTATGTAAATGTATGTATATAAATTAATATTAAATCACAATTCACTCGCACAATTTGGATTATCGTCCACTTTGGAGCTTGAAACTATAATATGCTCTTGCAGTGAGTTTTCTACTATTTATATTACAATATAATCTCTAAAATGTACATATGACTCTATTCTGAGTATTAAATTTCATTTAATTTATTTTTATATGAAAAAATAAAGTTTAAATATATTAGACAACATTATTATATACTGTATTATTGCTTAACAGCTATATATATAACATGATAACATCGGTTATGTAATTACGGAAATGAGTATTTTTAGGCTTAAGATTTGAAACAATATTAAATTGTTTATGAATAAAGAGAGAAGCTTTACCGTGTCAACAAAATTAAAATATCAGACTAAAATATGAATTGTATTTTAGCTTCGTTAAACATAAATGAGATTCGTGTTTTTATAACATATTACTAAAATATTACGAATGAAATTTGTTTTTTCATGTTTCCTGCGTTTCAACGTTCGTATTCATTGCTTTTCATCTGGATAAAGATGAACTAGCTTCTGACCTTCCGCTTATGGCTGACTGTAAACTCATCATTGAACCTCTGAAGGAAGCCAAAAAAAATACTATCATAATATTATTCTACGTAAAAATAAAAATATATACCATATATAAGTACCTGTAATGTGCAGCTGGTAATGTTTCATAAAAATACATAAGTTGAGCCTTATGAGAGCTAATGGATGGAAGAAATTCGACTTGATCTTCTTGATTTTGCCATTGTAATACATAAGTACCTGTATCCTGCATGATATGAGTACCCTATAATATAAAAAGAATTAATAATTTCATAGAAGCAATAATTATGTAATTATAATTATTAATATACAAAATAATCGCATACAATTATTTATAAAAATAGATAAGTTATGAGAAAATAATATAGTATATTAAATTTTATATTATTATAAATATGTTTATATTTCAAATTCTTTAACAAAGAAATAATAAATTATAATTTAAATCATAGTTTAATATAATAATAAATTACAGTTCAATACACAAAAGAATTAATTAATTATTATATTAAGAATATATTTGTGTGCCTTATTCAATTTGTAACTGATATGTCGCTTATTTGCTACTACACAACTCAACAATGACTGAAAACAAAATTTTCTGGAAAATTAATTTTAATATTTATTTCCAAATTATTAAAATCTTATAACGTTGATTTTTAAGTGCAATTTAAGTATAACAACTGTTTGTAAAGAAATAAAAGTTCTTTTGAAGTATATTCTTTATTTAAGTTTCCATTCTTTTCTGTAATTACAATTAAAAATAACAATTTTGAGTTAAATATTGTAAGTTTATATAATTATTGTAAATTCATATGGTTATTGTAACAAATGAGCGAAATGTGGATATAAAAATATTAAAAATATTGACTTTATCAAATATATAACATATACTAAATACAATATCAAAAATACAATACAATACACAAATTACATGAATACATACTTGGATGCTTTCACCATCATGACAAATTATGCTATGTTCGACTTTAATGTAATTATCTTTCAATTCTTTTGCAGCAACGATTTCATGATCACCCCCTATTGCGAGCTCTGGAAGTTCTATAAAATAATTATTGTTTGTAAACTGTACATATTGTTAATTTTAATTAAAAAATGTTATGTTTGTTTCATCATAATACTGTTCTTAATATTAAAATGTACCTGAAATAGCACCGTTTTCACTGTTTCGAGATTTGTGAAGCACTGTAAATATTACATTATGACGCATTACATCGAAATCCCACGTCAGGACAGCACCCGGATCATCCGATTCTATGAACACATGATGAGTTTGACCACGACTCAAGCTAATAGAGTGATACAGACTGTGCTCATGTTCACCGGTGGTACCCTCCAAATCCACTTTATATAAGTTTTTCGGTACTACTCCACCTTCCATTACGTATGTCTAATATTTATGATAAAAAGAAAATAATTTTAGACATATATTTAATTGTATTTGTTTAGATTGCTTATGTAATCTTAAAGATATTATTTAAAATTTAAGATTTTATGAAAATTAATAGCTAATCAAATTTCAGATATTTAATAGCTTTCGTGAATTATTCATTGACTAACAAATTGTAGTATGTAATTTAATATGTTTCATTGATAGATTTCATTGATAACTTTGAACTTAGTTTGTGTAAAATACTCTGAAATTTAACTAGCAAGAATACGTAAAATTACTTCATTTTTTGTGCACGCAGTGTTAATCTATATTTCCGAATTAGTGCTTGAATTTGCGTGCATTATATGTACATGATTTTGATTATATCTCAAAACTATATATTTGATAATACACAGATAAATGTTTCAATGTAGACTATCGATAAAATTCCTGTATTTTATACATTTATATGAATAACAAAATTATGACGACATAGATGATTTACATAAAATTGTTTTCTCTCAAACGTGGATGATCACAGATAAGAATGTACGAATATAACACACGGACAATGCCTATGTATCTAGCAATTGCTGATATTACATAACAATTTTCTGATAATTTCTTTGATATTTCTAATATATAATGATACACAATGTGCATTTTTTAATAACTATAAAAACGTCACATATTTCTTCACTAAAGCCAGTTAGCTGCAGAAAAAAATTTCTACAACATATTGAACATAATTTTTTAATCGTTTTCTTACGCTGTTAGCAGTTGCGTCGAAAATGTAAAATCTTCGAGGTACCATATTATAGACTTCGCATATATTCATTTCCTAATATTCAACACGTATACAAAAAATATATTACTCAAATGTAAATAAATAAATGTAAATAAAAAACGGAACTATTGTTTTTTTCCAAAGGAGAAAGATAATTAGAAATTTCATAAGATATTACATTCAAAAAGTAAAAACTCATTAAAAAAATTATTATAATCCTTTAATGATATATTATAAATCGTTATAAAATAATACATATTGTATACTTTTTAAGAAAATATGATCAAAATAAATTATTAATAATATATAGAAATAAATATACATATTACATAAAACCTGTTAAATGTTTTTTATACTAATATAAAGACATTCATAACTATTCGTAATTATATATTAAATATTCATGTTAATAAGTGCAATATTTGCAACATTTAATATTATTAATATTATTAATATTATTGTCTTACCTCTGAGGAACCACCGAGGAAATCAGGAATAAATTCTTGATTAATGTATTCATTAAGACCACCGGGTCCCTGTTCTTGGTAGTCTGTACCACAATAAAAAATAAACTTTTTCCTAGTATTTTCATCTGTAATTTTGATATATAACATGATTAGAAAAACGTTATATTATATAATTAAATTAAGTTAATTTAAAAAATTCTTACTTATAAAAGTGCTGATAAGTGTCCACAAAATAGGAAAACATCTGGGAGCACGCATGATTAGAACTCTTCCCATTGTTTCTGGATAATTTGCTTCAACTATTTCTATTATTCTCAATAATGCCTGAAGCAAAAATTAAATAAATATAAAATTATTAGAGTTAACAATACAACAATTTATATCAATATATCAAGGAATTATAAGTATTTATTTTATTTAAAATTTTTATTTCATTTATGTTATTTAAAATAAACATACTTTTATTCCAGGTCTCCATAGATGTCGCATATTTAAACCTTCTAAATCTATTAATAGTGTCCATTGGGAGACCGGATGATCCCAAACAGTAGTAGCTTCTTCCATCAAATGCAGACCTTCTTCACAGATATGTAAAGCCTATAGAAAAATAAGATATTATTAAATCACTTCGAAAAATTTTCAATTTTAAATAATTTTAACTTACTAATAATAATAATTCATCTTCCCCAATAGATTTAAGTAGACCTTTAACATCCATCTGACCCAGCCTTAAGATATATAAAGGTCGTCCGTCTACATCAAAGAATATATAAATAGAAGATGTGATACGTCAGATATTCTTTTATATCACATACTGACTCATTATTCTTCATACCGTAACTTAGGATAGCGTGACATTTGCAGCAAGTTTATTATAGATCGATTACCTTTATCAAAGTGATGCCAGCCACCAGGAAAGTAATCTTTAATCACTTGTGGCATTTCATATTCGTCTAGAAGTTTATCGATCTGATGCTTCTTTCTCCAATGTAAGGATTGTGTTAACATTTCTCTAGCCTTTTCAACAGAGAATTCTGTGGCCCTCAAGAACCGTAGAAGCGTTGCATAACCTGGTACGGAACTACCCCTTAATTCTTCAATGCTATGTCTAAGCTGCACTAATTTGCTTTCCTGAAGCATATCTAGTTTTCCTAAGTATCTCTCTATATAATCCGACGACAGTTGCATTTCTATAATTAAAGAAAACAAACATAAAATGAACTACTTGTTACATGTAACACTATTATAGCAAAATAATATGTATCAAAAAGATAATATACCTCTGTTGCTGGGCAGTTTGTTGTCGGTATTACATAATTCTTTCTCGCTATATAACTCACTATTTTCGTCCACATTTTTCCTATATAAAAAAAGTAACCATTGCAGACCGAAAATATTGTTCAATATAAATTGTTAGTATGAATTTAGGTAAAATGTGTTAAATGTTTAAGGCTGGAAATTAAAATTGTAAGACGTTACAATTAAGATTTTAAATATTTTACAGAAACAATCACTTGTATACGTGTGAGTGTGTATATGTGCTCTTGATGTCTGAAGTGCTCGTCCATCATGATGTTCCCTTACAAGCAATGTGAAATTTATGCAATTAAAATGTACAAAGAGACTCTAATGCATTACATTTAATTTAATGTACTATACTTACTTTTCTTCTTCAGAAGATCTTTTCTGTGGATCGTCCCAAGGAGCAACATAAGTAATACCTTCTTCTTTCAATTGATTTATGAAATATTCGATAATTTCTTTACCCTATAATTAAATATGTAATTACATTTTATGAAATAAAAAAATTTTTATTTTTATTTTATTATAACTATCATATCTTATTATTTTAAAGATAGATATGATACAATAATCATTATATATATTACCTTAGCAATATTTTGTGCATATTGCTTCATCGCTAACTTTTCCATTGAGTTTTCAAAACCAAAAAAGTTTTTAATATCTAAACTTGCAGTTTGCTCGAAACAAGTCCATTCTGGATTTTCAGGATGAATCTAAAAAAAATGTGTATGTAAAAACAATAATATTAGACTGTACAATTATTACGTGTAATTAGAAAATATTCTAGATATAGTATTCCTAATATAAAGTAAAAATTTATAAGGATACAATAAACTAAATTTATTATGATTATTATATATATTTTTGCATTAGGAAATTAAACC